CTGGGAGGTTGGAGCTGGCGCCGCCGCCGTAGCTGCCGCCGCCGCCGTAGCTGCCGCCGCCGCCGTAGCTGCCGCCAGGGGTCGTTTTGCAGGGACCTGAGTTCTCCAACCGAGTTCGCGGATACTCGTGGACTAGCGGAGGCCCTAGAGGACCTCACTCTCACTTGTTTTGTAGTGGCGAACCCACGTTCGTCTGGTACCTAGGGTGGCTTGGCGGCCGCGTTCGCAGCGGTCACCTGGAGCCCCTGGCCTCCGGGTCCCCGTCAGTCCCGCCCAGTGCGTCTCTTGTTCCAGCATCAGCGCTGTCTGATCAGGATGCTGACCAGGATGCTGTTCTGGTTTTGGGAAAGGGTGGTCTAACTCTCTACCTCCAGCCCCTGCCCTAGTTGGCCTTTGCTGAACTCTGAAATGGCTCGCCAGGGGCTTCGACAGCCCACCTTCCGAGCCCTGCTGTTGACGCGGTCCTCGGTGGCAGTTCAATGCCTATGGAACGGTTGGAGGGCAGAACTGCTCCCTGGACGCACAGGGGCTGGATCTTACTGGGCAAAAAGCCTCACTCAGCAAAGAAAATAGGGACCGCTACCTTTGAACGTTGTTTTTTGAGACAGGGTTTTGCTACGTAGTCCAGGTTGGCCTTGAATTAACTCTGTGGCCCTGGAAGGCCTTGAACTGAAGCGATCCTCCTGTCTCAGCCTTCCGAGTGCTGGGATTACAGGTGTCTGGCTTGCAACATTGATTTTTACCCAGTGCTCCTCAGTTTTATGAATATTTACTCAGTGCTGTCTCTGTGCCAGGCTTTGTGCTAGACGCTAGGATTATGGCTTTTTCTTGGTGCTTTCTGCCTCATCAGGGACAGGAGGACTTGTGAATATGTGATGTGATTGTGTCTAGTACTAGAAGTGAAAATATATATGAGGAGCCAACTTGGAACTGGTGGTTGGGAAAGGCCCTCTGAGGAAGTGATAGTCAGACCTGAAGGGTGAATTGCAGTGCATGCCAGGCAGAGAAATGGAAAAGAGGTTGGTGTATTTGAGCAGCCAGTAAGGCTGAAGTCTCTTTCACTGGTGGCTTATATTCTAAGTAGGAGAAATCAGGAAAGTACATACACTGTATAAGTAATGTGGTGGAATATAGACTTCAAGAAAAAAATAGAGATTAGATTTGAGGTTCTTCAGGAGAGACCAGTTTGCCTAACCTTTGAAAGCCGGGCAAGGTATTAGTTGAGAAAGAGCCTCATTTCTTGAACATACATCATAGGCAGGCACTGTGCTGTTTTTTTGTTTTGGGTTTCTTTCCCCCCAACTTTATCTTATTTCTCACAGCAAAACTGGGAAGTATTTTACAGCAGAGGAAATTGAGGCTTAATGCTTGCCCCTGGTCAAGGAGCTGGCACACAGGAGAGCCAAGATCAAGCAGCTTTGGGGTGTTATTACAGAGCTGTCAGGAGAAGGGGCCATTGGATTTGGTAATTGGGAGCCAGGTGACAGGCCTATGAGATGGGGCACAGGCAGTGGGGTCTGAGGAAGGCGCTGCCCTGGGTGAGTTTCTCTTGTGCTCCAGGGTACAGATATCAATCTGGAAGGACCAGGTCTGCAGTCCACCTGTGGAGGAAGGCAACCACTGCAAGCTGTGCAGCACCTGGTCAGGAGTGTCCAGAGCAAGGAGAGGCTACTGCATGTGCGGTGCCCCCCGCCCCCATTCCTGCCCCTGGAAGACTGAAACACTCCCTCTGCCTCAAAAGGAAGCAGGGTCACAGACCCCAGGACACCCTACAGAGAAGGTGTGTTTTGTTAGCATTTGCTCTCAGGAAAAAGTGCTGTCCTAGTGCTTGTTTTGCCAACTAGACAAGAATGCTTGAGCATCAGTGAGCTTGAAAGGATCAGAAAAATGCAGAATGTGATACAAATGCTAATCGTGGCAGGCTTGAATTGACTGGTACTCAGCCAAGGCCTTCTCTCCATGCCTAGCTGACACAGTGTTTCCTGTATCTCCCCAGGGTTGTTTCCCGTCCCATACTGGTTCAGGTGGGCACTGCTAGACTTTGGTTACTTCACCTACTTGGCTAGGTGAAGTTTGAGTTGATGTTTTCTTCACAATGACTTCATCACTGGAAATTTGTTTCTAAGTTGGAACTGCCTAAACATTGCTCATGGCTGTCTCAGTTAACAGACTGGTAAGTCTTGCTGGTATTAAGGGTCATTACAGTGGATCTCTAGCATCCTCTAACCTCTGAGACCCACCCCACTGGATGCAACATTTGTTCTCTGACCGGGAAACATAAGACCCCCAGACATAGTACACCCAGCCTAAATGGGAGTAAATGTGGCTCCCCTTCTGGAGATATCCCCAATCTAGCATGGTGGAAATCTGGCTGGGCCCTTTCTGGGCAATAGGGGAACCTAGTTTATTTTAATATTGGTCTCACTTTTGGTCTTAAACCCCACAGTCAGCCAAGTCCACCCTATCCAGACACCTCTTCCCCTTTTGGGAAAACTCACAAATAACAGCATTCCTTTGGGAGCCCATAAAAGTTATTACCCAAAAGTAAGGCCTTTGTTTTTGGTTTCTTTCTGTACAGAGGAGTCTAGAGGCCAATCAGTCTGTGGAGGAGCCAAATTCTGTCCCTCCCTGGGGCTGCCTACAGGACCCCCTCAGCTTTATTTCTTTACTACACTAAATTTCCAATTAAAAGTTTTGCCTGTAAATTCATAATGTTGCCTCAGTTTTAATCTCCGTTATCAGTGATGGAAAGACCCATTCCAGCCAGGGACCAGATGACCCTCACTGAGGCTGAGGCCGGAGGGAATGGGGCCCGTGAAGAGCAGGTCTGCTGTCCTTGTGTCCGGAGTAGTTTTCTGTCTGTCACTGTAAATCAGAGTACAGGTTTCTCTTCTGAACCCTCTACTTCTTAGTCATTTCTGGAAGGACATTGGCACAAGCCCCCAAAACTATTCCCACAAGCCCAGCTGAAGTCTAGGTGCCCTAAATAGAAACTGCCCCAAAAAGGATTTGTTAGCAGCAAGACTCAAGTTTATTAAAATAGGTGTGACAAGTATACTGCAATTTACTTTTTCTGTGCTAGATCAGTATATTTTTTGTACAAACAAGATAATGCTAGATATGACAGTTAAGGCTTTGAAAGCATAGCATACAAAACGAAGCATCTTAATTAAAAGTCCTTCATAAAAAATGCTCGAGCCAAAGTGACAAAAAGTTTTCACAGCAAGAGACGTCACCTGGCTCCTACCCGTTGAGGTGGGGCACAGTGAGATACAGCAGGCCTGAGCTGTGCCCCAACTCTGGGGCTTCAAAGGCACTCCAAGGCAAAGGTGGGAGTTCCACAGCCCACTCCCTAGGCCCAGGACAGAGATGTCCAAGAGCAGGCAGAGGGGAAGGCTCTGCATAGTCCGGAATGAGAAGACAGTTGTGGATTATTAAATTCAAGTGCACATTTTGTGGAACAGGCATGAGGTGGAGAATATCAACACAGTAGAAAGGGAACATGGTTGTTCCACCTGCCGTCCCACAAGGTTCTCTTATGTCCTGACCACCATTTTGAATTTTGTAGTTCAAGTACAATGGCCCTGATTTCAAGTTGATGAAGTCCTTAACTCACTTACAATATATACAAAGGACACAGCCTCCACCTTGTAAACAGTTGCTCTGATGTCACTGCAGAGGGATGCCAGCCTACCAGGGACAGGAGTCAGCCCCAAGAAGTCAAAGGGGACAAAGTAGATACTTTTTTTTGAGAACAAAACAAAACACCACCACCACAACAAAAAAGCAGCACAAGAGCAGGATAAGACATTTTCTTTTCCCTTTTTCAGAAACTTAACTGGTTTTGCACCAAGTCTCAGTTACTATGCGTTGGCTGAAACCCAAAGGATGGACCAGATATTCATATACTTGGGGAAGCTGAGATCACACTGAGAATGCACACTTATTTAGCATAATGCTAGACAATCAAAAATTCCCTATAGAATGGCCAAAAGCATGCTTCTTAACTCGAGTTTACATGAATAAACTTTCATTTAGAATCTCAAGATAGGAGAATTGGATGGGGCTTTGGCTGTCAATCTACTCTGTTCATGGGAGAACTGAGACCACCAAAGTCCCAAACTCTTAGTCCAGTGCTTTTCACAGAGTTTTGACCGTGACCTTTTGAAATCTGGCAGTGATTTTTGGAGGGTCTAGGTCATCTCCTGTTTGTGTAGCTGGAGGCACAGGCAGATGTTGGCTTTCCTTGTGTCATGAAATGAAGAGGGTGGCACTTGGGTACATCTTGGAAACCAAGAAATGTATGTGTAATACTGACAATTTAAGGGACTGGGAAAAAGAAGAAAACCAGATTCTGTTCTGTGAGTGTGGAATAGAGTAGAATAAAAGGACATATCACTTCCCCTCTTTACATAGTAATGGGAGGAAGAAGGGCCTTTGTGGCCCAGAAGTTCAAAGAAAGAGGTTGGCAGGCCTGAGACAGACCATGAGTGGACATGACCATCTCTTTGACACTACTTGTCTCTCCTGGAAAACACAGGATGGGGTCTGATTTCCAAATTCATGTAATTGCAGCTCTTAACCCGGAATGAGCAGTGTTCACAGTACAACGAAAACGTTTTGGGATGTGTTCTAGAAGGCAGAGGCAGTGCAGCTCCCACGGAGCTGTTGGCAGAACGGTATTATGGACTTGAGTTCAACGCTGCACCAGTTCCTCTAAGTGCAACAATCAGTTCGAGTCCTGCTGGGTGAGGGGTGGAGCCATCTCATCTCTCCTGTTGGGTCCCAGACAGGAGCTGAAGGAGTCACACTCTACCTCGCTTGCCGGTCCCATTTCCGTGTGGCAGCAGCTTTCCATACAGAGATGCAGCTGGACAACAGTATCTCTTCTGGGAACTGGGATTCCAAATCTGGAGGGACTTCACTGTCTTTAGTTTCCATGTAACTTATCAGAGTGTCCCTCAGGCTGCAGAAGCAAGAAACGAGATACTATTGATAACATCAGGAGGCCAATGAACTGTCAATTTTCCTAGTCCTCCACAGGACCAGATTGCTCACTAAGATCAGACATTGAGGTCAGCTGTCAAGAGCCAATCTATATAAATTTTGGGAAAAAAATCTTTTTATAATTAAAGCATGACTACAGCTGTCTAAGGCCCAATGTTGTCTTGCCCAAAAGCTGGCTAGAGCATGTGGAAACAACTGTATCACCTCTGGTAACAGCTGAGGTCTCAATCGTCCCTGAGGCTGTAGAGATCAAAGCCTAGATTATGTGAGCTGAAGACATCCTGGTTCTTTGAGAATCCGGTAGTAATATAAAAAGAGAAAGGTTTCACCTGGGAGGGACAAATTCCTTATCAGCTCAACTCATGCTACCTACTGATGTAGGAAAGCTGTCATTTCTGCCCTGATCAACATGAGATTTGCATAGACATAAGGTCACCCAGTAGTCCCTCCAATTGTTGTGTGCACCCAAAAAATGATGGCAAGTATGGAGTCTTGGTCTTTGCCCACTCTGAGGCACTGACCTCCTGGTCACCCATATACTTTGAAATTTAGTCTCTATTGTCTTTTTTTTCTTTAGCCCTCACTGTCCCCCTTTCTAGGCAGTTGGACGATTGATTGGCCTCCAAATAGTCAGCTTCAGGCCAGCTGAGTCCTGAGCTCCTGAACTGGACATTGGCCCCTGCCATTGTCGGATGAAATCCTAGTCTCCAGCTTTGCTCGCTGGTGCTGGCCTTATCAGTGATAATGTCAGGTACTCTAATGTGACCTATTGGGCTGTTCATATGAAAACCTTTGCTGTTCAGAAAAAAAAAAAAAAGTATGTATCCCCTTTTACATTTTATGTAATTAAGGTTACAAAAAATAAAGATGACAATTCTCTAGGAAGGGGAACTTCTTTTATACTGTAGGTTCACGATATAGAGACTTACTAAGCTGAAAGAATACAAGGCATATAGGTATGTGCCATATGGTACAATGGAAGAAAAATAGCAAATGTGAAATATACTGGTATAGAAAAGAGATTTGACTATTTCAAAAAACAGATTTATATCCTTACCTCATGGTATACATAAAAGTAAACTGGCTAAAAAAAAAAGTATAATCGCTTCTCGGCCTTTTGGCTAAGATCAAGTGAAAAAAAAAAGGTATAATATGGACCTATATAAGTAAAACCAAAACAAAATAAAACCCATGGAAGGACATTTCTAACCTTGGGATACAAGAAGGAAGACCTTTACTGATGTATTTTCCTTTACAGGAAAATTCTGCCAGATTTGACTTCATAAATTTAAAGATAATGATGAGATAAAGCATTTGTAATAACACATTTAGATAAAAATTAGTTTCTGCACTATACCAAGAGCTTTTCTAAATCATTAAGAAAGATTAAGAATTGGGCATGGTTGGCACACACCTGTAATCCCAGCACTTGGGGGAAGATTACTGTGAGTTTGAGGCCAGCCTGGGCTACATATAGAGTCCTTGTCTCAAAAAAAAAAAAAAAAAAAAAAAAAAAAAAAAAAAAAAAAAAAAAAAAAAAAAAAAAAAAAAAAAAAAGTAATTCAGAGGACAACAAACTAGTGATTAATAAATATGAGAATGTGCCCAGCCAGACTAGTAAGTAGGGAAATACAAGAGACAGCTGGATCGCATTCTTTGGCCATCACATCGACACTAATGTATGACGGGTACATTGGGGAATTCCAGTGTTTATAGCACATCTCTTTGATATAGAAAGCCTGCTTGTTAGACTGTATAGCTTTTGGAGAAGCCAGCTCTCAGGTGCTGTGGTAGTGGAGGGAGAGTGTGACAAGTCCTATGGGGGATGGGCCTGTCTGCATGCCTGTGGAAGGGCACGGTGGGCAGAACATTCCTGTCACCCTGCCCCAGCAGTGGTGTGCTTGTCCCTCCCTACCTCCACTTGGGGTTGAAGTTGTCCTCAGCCTGAGTGTTCTTCAGCTTTAGCACCATCATTTCATGGAGCTCCAGGAGGAAGGTGTCTAGGCTGCTGTGGTTTAGGAAAGTGCTGAGGAGCTTGGCATGTTCTAGGCTGAGATCCTCTTTGTACCTTGGACTGATTTCCCGAAATGGTTCCTAAAAATGCAAGACCACCAAGGGGCCATTAAAGGCTGAGAAGAGAAGGCTGAGCTTTCTGCACTGGAGAGGCAGAGCTAAGTAAGCGGCACTTACTTTCTTCAGGCGCAGCAGCTGTTCCGACTTATGCGCAGAGAGGAACTGCCAGAGGGCAATGGCGTGTTTTAATTGACATCTACTTAAGGCCTGAAAGAGGAATAGGAACCCTGCTAAGAGGTAGAGGCCTCACACCCTGCACCCCCATGCCCAGCAAGGACTCTGAGCACTACCCCCTTTATGCTCTGCACTAACTCTATGTTCCTTGTCCTGAGGCCACCTCTGTTCATCACAAATCTACCTGATATGTCTTTCCAACATCTCTGAAAAGCAGCCCCTCTGGCCACAGCTCAGAGTTGTGCAGTGAACAGCAGTTGATGGCCTCATCAGGTGTGTCATGCTCTGTCTAGATGGTCAGCATTGGGCTGTCTGTCTCTGCTGTCCCAAGTGGCTCTGTCTATACTGTGGACTGGCTAGCAGCGGGGCTGCTTTGAGCTCCCCTTTTCCAGGATACATATATTGATGTTCCCTGCCTGGTGGTTTTCTAATGGGAAGCAAGAAACTCATCTGAGGCTGCTGATCTCCCTGAACAGCCTTCACACCAGACCCACCTTTAAAACTGAAGTTGTCTGGTCGCCCATTCGCAGGACTTCTTGGATGTACATATTTAGCTGCATGTTTGGGTCCCCACCGGCTGTGCTCAGGAATCCTAAGGTGACTTCTATGACAGAGAGGGCTTCACAGGCATCACTGTAGGACTGAAGCTGCCCGCTGATGATGCCCATAGCTGCACTCTGGAGGGTACTCTGGGAAACCAAACACAGGACAGCGACCATGGGTTGGGACTTTTATTTTTCACTGCCTGTGATGAGCTTAGCTTTGTCACTGACCCAGCTATGGTGGCACAAATCAATCACAGCCGTTGACATGCAGTGCTAAGTGCAGCAGCATTTCAGACATTTGGCAAGATTTGAGCTCACTGAATCCTCAATATAACATGGTATGGATATGGGGAGAGAGTATTTATCTACCAGTATCATTATCAAAAGAGCAGGAATAAATTCTCTGGACCTTTTACCTAACCTACATCTGAAACACCATCACTACCAAACCAACCACACAAAATGTCAGTGCATTTACAGTTGTTATGGCTGTGTCTAGATGTCCCCTTAAAGCCTCATGTAATCACAGTGGGGGCTTTTTCCAAGGAGGCTGGATCTAGAGTGTGTGATGCTGGGATCAAGGGTCTATGATTGATGATTAGTCCACTGACTGGTTTGTGACAGTTCTAGTGTGGAGAATGGGAAGGGCCACCACAGGGGTGAGTGCTACCTGCTCTACAAGTGTGAAGCTTGGATGGAATATAGGGGACAGGAAGAGGGCTGCTGTGGCTTGCTTGTTGATTTCTTGCTACTTTTCTGCCTTCTGTCCACCATGAACTGTTTCTCCTCTTTAATGATCCTTTGCCATGCTACCCTGCTTTGGAGCCAACCAACTATGGACTGAAACCTCTCCAAACTGTGAGCCAAAATAAACTTCTCCTCCTTTAACTTTTGGTGTTGGGTATTTCGTTTCAGGAATGAGAAAAGTAACTGAGACAACACTCAAGAAACAGAGGAATACACTGTCTTGCTTGCCCTCTGTGAAGAGTGATGTCAGAGAGCACCCAGGTCCTCAAGGAGCTTGAGACTCTGTTGCTCACAGCAGACAACTGGGAGAGGGTGAAGCTATCCAAGTGTGGATGGAACCACCCTTCAAATGGCAGGTTTGTCGTGACCACCTGTTTCATCTTGTTCTTAATGTCCATGAAGAGATGCTCATAGTTCTGATCATGTCTGTGCACCAGTGTAGGGATCCCCTAAAGTGAGAAAGAAAAAGCATTTGGACATTATATCCATAGTAGAGGTCCCTCATTGGATGACAGATACACCTTGAGCAGTAGCTCAATGGGAGGGTCTTCCTGGGCAGCACACATAGATCTGTCTTCTTATGAAGTCTCTGTTTGTCACAATCTCTGCAAATAGTTATACAATATGAACCCATCCCAGCCACAATGACCCTGCAGATATTGTCATGGAGAATATATTGTACCCTGAGGATCGCAGGAGGTGCTGGGGACAGAGATGGAACAAAATTACATTCACATACTCAGTCAGCAACTACTGAGCATATATCACGAACCAGGAAGTCATTCTGTTAGGCAAGAGTTGTCAGAATGAATTAAAAATTGCTTTGGAGAGGCCAGGGATACAGCTCAGTGGTACAGTGCCTGCCTGGAAAGCATGAGGCCCTGAGTTCAAGTCCCAGTACCAAAAAAACACAAAAGAAACAAACATGCCTTGGAGCCAAGCATGGTGGTGCAGCACTCTGGGAGGCTAAGCAGGAGGAGCACAAGTTCCAGTCCATACTGGGTAACTTAATGAGACCCTGTCTCAAAGGTTAAAAAAGGGGGAGGGGGAGGGGATGTAGCTCAATGGGAAGGCCCTGAATTCAAATTCCCATTTTGGAGAAATAAAAAGGTTTTGGATGCAAATAATTCACAGCCTAATTGTAGACAATGCAAAGGTAATAACCCATTACAAAGTATCTGGCTAGACCTGGAAAAGCCACGCGTGTCCCTAGCAGCAGGGTTCAGCCTACCTTGACCGTCAGCCTGGGCTTGCCCTGTAGGAGGCGCCCCCTGATCTGCCGCTGGATCTTTTCCAGGTCGAACTCCTGTGAGGTCTCCCCACCTTGCACCACTTGATACTGGCAGTTGGACAGAATCAGCGGAATCAGGTCACGCTCCACGTCGTAACTGATGACATGCAGGTCAGTGATCTCGGAGGCATCCACAGAATAGCTGTGGGACATAAGACACAGTGACTGGTGTCCGGGGCGGGTGTATGGAGCTGGAGCTTTGGACATATGAAGACTGTGCCTCCTTCTGCCCTCACAGTCTCAACAGGCAACAGCCATTCACAACTCTGCTGAGTTGAACAGGGGCTCTGCTGAGGGTGAACACGGCTGCAGCTAGCTGGCGTCTGCTCAGGGGTGTGAGATGCAGGGCCAGGTGTACACTGTGTCCACTTGCTTATGCACACACCTGTTGTTTTCCTTGGAGAAGTTCTCCACCATGTAGACAACTTCATTGTGTAGGCGAATCAAGTAGCTGACTAAAGCAGTAGAGCAGAGGCCCAGGCCCCGCCGACGTGGCAGGATGACTTCAAAATCAGAATCCAGATCCAAGTCAGAGCGGCAGTACTCTTTAGGGAGCTTGATCTCACCTTCAAATGACAGGGTTACTCTCAGCAAAGAGCACTGCACCCCAAGGCTCTCCTTCACAACATCAAGGAAAAGGAGGAGGAACGGGAGGAATACGGATATGCTCATCCCAACTGAACACAGAGCAGATCTGGAGGCCTTGCCTCCAACCTCTCTTGCAGGCTGACAAGTTTACAGTATTCTCAGTTCCTTTCTGCCTCCACATTTATGCATTCAAGAGGACCAGGGGCTTATTACTGATCAAGCTCACTTATCACAGCACCTCCATCAGAAGACTTGGAAGTCTGGCGTGACCATGCACATGGCCAGGCACTGGCAGAGCCAGCAGAGGAGCAGGCTTCAGGTGCTTAGTGCCAAGGGGGAGGAGGACACTCACCATTGGTCTCCAGCGATCGCCTCAGTGCATTCCATGTGGACAGAAAAATAGTGATCCTCTCCTCAAACAACTTCTTCAGCCCATCTGTTGAACAAAATGGTTGGTAAGAACCTATGGAAATAAGTAGCCAGCCAGAGAGAAACCAGTACAGGGCAGGCTGTGGATGGAACCCAGCTCTGCTTCTTCCTGTCACTAAGCAGGAGGTTGAGCTGGGAAAACTAGAGAGGAGGGGCTTCCCAGCTGCAGCAGGAGCTCTATGTGTCTCGGGGACCCAGGGACCTCACTGCATGCTAAGAGCTTATGACACGGACCACCCATGAGCCTCCCTGGAACCATCCTTCCCAAACACCAAACACTAGGTGGTTCTGAACTCTTGTTGGAGCGAAGAGCAGAGACATACCTGAACTGTGACTTTTAATAAACTTTCTGATGGAACTGGATGCAATTTCAGGAACATTCTGGAATTGTTTCACTAGGCTCTTTTGCAGGGCCAATATCTCAGGCAAGAATTTCACCAGCCTCAGTTCTGCCTCCTGAAGAAGGGAAGATCACTCAGTGACACTTCCTCTCTCTCTGTCTTTTTTTTTTTTGGTACCAGGGATTGAACTCGGGTCCTTGAGCTTGCAAGGCAGGCCACCAAACCGCTGAGCTAAATCCCCGGCCCAACACTTCCTCTCTTTACGTAGAACATGTTTATTGGGCACACAGACGTTGGAGATGGTTGAGGATTTGTCTTTGTGGTTTAGTTTGGTCAGTGGGGCATTTTATAGGAAGACACACAGGGCTAATGGGAAAGGTGTCATTCCATCTTTCACAAGTGATTCTGGAGGACTTGCAGTGTGCTAGACACTGGCCTGCTTCTGAGGGATAGAGGATAACTAGGACAGAGTCCTGCCCTGCAGAAGCTTAAGTGTCAAGTGAGTGTGCCAAGATCCAAAGAAAGAGACTACATCTTGACACCTATGTTTCACCTTGCAAAAAAACTCAACTTAAGAGGGATCAAAGAGCTCAGTGTAAGTCCTGAAACTTTAGACTTGGAAAAAAACATAGGGGAAGTACTTTGTGGTTTTGGTACTGGCACCAATTTCTGGACAGGAACCCAAAAGAACAGGAAACAAAAGCAAAACTGGCAAGTGGAATTTCATCAAGCAAACTTCTGCACAGTAGAGGAACCAATGAACATGGACAAGAAGGAACCAACAGAATAAGAGAACAGATTTGCCAACTAATAAATAGATAGAGAGGTCTTATCCAGGATATGTAAGGAATTTTAAAAATCATAACAAAAGCCAACCCAATTAAAAATGGAAATGGTCTGAATAGATACTTCCGAAAAGAACAAGTACACAGGGGCAAAAAATATATATGAAGGAATGTTTCGTATCGTTAGGCTGTTGGGGAAGTGCAAATCAAAACTATAATAAGTTATCATCTCACTCCAGCCGGCGTGGCTATTAGGAAAAAAAAAACCAAAATAACAAATGCTGCTGAGGATGTAGAGAAAAAGGTCCCCCTATACACTGCTGCTGGGAATATAAATTAGTGCAGCTATTTTAGAGATCAGTCACAGAGGTTCATCAAAAACAAACAAACAAAAACTGAAAGCAGATCTACTGTATGACCTCTTTCCATGTATCCACGGAGAGAAAATGAAATTAGTATAGCAAATAGACACCGTGTGCCTATGTTTACTGTGGCACAATTCACAAACGTGCTATGAAATCAGCCTAGGCATTCATGAAGAGATGAAAGGATAAAGAAAACGTAGCTACCTAATTCAGCCACGAAGAATAAAATCCCGTTCTTTGCAGCAAAACAGATGGAACTGGAAGACATTACGTGAAGTGAAATAAACCAGACACAGAGAGCCAAGTACCACCTGCTGTGTGTGTGTGTGTGTGTGTGTGTGTGTGTGTGTGTGTGTGTTGGTCAACCTGAAGTTAGGATAGTGCTTCAGAACAGGAGAAGGGTTGCTGGATTTGATTAGTACATGCTACCACACGAACATGCACAATGCATGTTAATAGCAAAATAAATTTGAAAAAAAAAAGAAAAAGAAATTGCCTCTTGGGCCCATGTGACAGGTAGGGTGTAGAAAGAAGCAGCTGAAGGCAGACGTTCAAGTCAGGCAGCGGTGACTGCTGTCATCCGTGGATGTTGCTCGAGACCTAGGGATCTCAGCATCCTCGGCTGAATGAAACCACGCGTCTCAGAGAGCGATCACTGCACTAACATGAAGTCCTTCCTAGTGTGAGCAGCAGAAACATCATTTTGCTTCTTGCTAGCTGCAAATACTGGAGGGAAATGATGAGAAAATCTACTGTAGGCAATCAGAGTTCAAGCAGATGAAGGTCAGCGGCGTGTATTTCCAGGCTGAAGAGACCGATGGCTATGGCCCACGGCCCCATCACAGCCAGCGCACGCTCACTCCCACTTGTAGTCTGCACGGCCAGCAGGGAAGAGATTCTGTTTGGTTTTGGCTCCTCATTCTTTACTACACCAGACAGGGGATGACAGCTCTGGGCTCTGGGGACGAGCTGTGGCCTTTTCCTTCCTGCTGAGTGTGACCGGAGACGTTCTCCCCTGGCCTTCAAGCTCTTCACAAGTCAGTGCTGACCCCAATGTGTGGGCGTGCTCCACCTGTGATGTTACGCTTGGTGGGTCTGAAGACCTCCCTACTCCCCCTGAGTCTCTGCTACCACATTCTTTTCAGAACCCCAGTGTGGACGGGTCGGTTAGAGTTCTACCCCAGGAAGAATGACTCTGAACAAGAGCACAGGGAGGCCCACATACCTTCTGCAGGAAATCCCAGAGCACAGGCAGTGTTTCTTTGCCATTCTTCTGCTCCACGATGTGCTGGAGGTACTCGACTGTGAACTTCTTCCTGCAGCTCCAGATCTTGGAGCAGTGGACAGCATTCTGGGGCAGATGAAGGAAGGTCGCTGGGTCACCATATATGATCTTGGTAACGGGACTGGAGCTGATGCGCTCATCTTGGCTGATGAAAGTATTCAGGGTACGAAGGGTTTTCTCTAGATGCTAGATGAAAAAGACACAGAAGTCTGGAAGTGAGACACTGCTACCGGCAGATTGGCACCTTGTGACTTCACCTCGGGTTTCCTGGAGTCTGCCTGCAGGCCATGGGACATTCACTGTTGTTATAATTTAACTGTTTCTTGGTTGTAGGTGATTTGCCCACCCACACTGAGTGAGACTCACTTGGAGGTCCATATTTTATTGCTCTCCTTTGGCTTGCTGAGGTGGTCATTTACCCCAGCGATGTCCTTCCCTAATACAGGAGTAGTGAATCTGATCTCAATGCCTCTCTTGTGGGTCTCTCTTGTGGGTCTCTCCAAGACAGTTCACCTCTCTACCTCTTATTCTTGCCTGCTGTCTAAAAAGTAACAGAGAGGAAAGGGACCTGCCGCTCATACTTTCAACACTCCTGGACAATTCCTTCGCCTGACTTATGAGCAGCCATAGGAGGGGTAACCCTATGTGGCTCTTCAGAAGCCTCCTGTGGTCCTTCCCCAAGAGGGTTCAGCAGACGTGAGGGACAGAGGCGCCAGACAGTGGTCACTCACCTCCAGCTCAGGTAAGAGAAGAGCTTCTGTGTATTTTTCCCAATTGTTTCTCTGGCCTTTGGTTGATAATTGTGCCTCAAAATTTAAAGTGTCTACAAAGAAAACCAAAACATATGGGTTATCCAAGGAACAAAAGCCACAGCAGTCTACATAAAGGAAATGGTAAATAAACATCAATAGAAGTAATTCTCCCTTCGTGGTAATACCTACCTAAATTAACCTATGCATTTAAAGAAGATTCTGTCACCACCAACTACCTACTGAAGATCCCTTTAACATGTATTAACTGTAATCTTAGAGCCACTCTGAACAAAATTACTAAGGACACAGCTAAAACTCAGAGGCCCAGGGGCACAGCAACAGTGGCCCACACCTCCATCCGCCATCTTGTTGCTGGCCTGCAGCCAAGAGGAGACCTTTGGAGGTGACCTGGACGTAGGACTGGTGGGGCCTCGGGAACTCCTTCACAGTGCACTTGCCAGGGCCGATGGAGTCACCAGCATGAGAGGCCTTCACTAAAATCGAATGTTTTTTGAATGGAAACTACATACTGATATTGGCTTCTGGTAAAGAAGTCCCCGACATGGGGACAGACTCTGGCCCTGGGCAAAATGTTTTTATTGCTTTATTACCATTATGCCTTTTTTTCTTTTGCAGTGCTGGAGATTGAACCCAGGGCCTTCACCCTGACCTACAATCCAACCACTCCCCACCTTTTAATTTTGAGACAGGTTCTTGCTAAATTGGCCGGGCCTACCTTGCAATCTCCCTGCCTCAGCTACCCAGAGTGCTGGATTACAGACATATACCACCATGCCTGGCTCATCATTACACTTTAAATAACACTGTCTTACAATGATAATTTTAAAAGATTTTTGTAGATAAGCAAAAAAATAATCTTTCTGCATGCTACCTTTCAGAATCATTTACAGAGCCTGGGATTTAGCTCAGTGGCACTGTGCCTGCCTCACAAGTGCCAAAAAAAAAAAGAAAGAAAGAAAAGAAAAGAAAAGATCTGCAAGATAACTTTGTAAATGATTCTGTGTGTGTGTGTGTGTGTTTTTTTTTGTACCAGGGATCAAACTCAGGACCTTGCACTTGTGAGGCAGGCACGATGCCACTGAGCTAAATCCCCGGCCTCAGACTTTTTCTTTCTACGTGGATTTAAATGTTCAAAGTAGAAAAATTAGCTCAGGGAACAATGTTTTGCAGCCTACTTTGTTTTGTAACCAATTGTAGATGTGTGAACATATCAGGGCAGTGTAAATGACATCTTTAGGAAAGCAGTGACTAGACACACATCCCCTGATTTGGATGAGACATGTTCCCAACACAGTGGATCAGCCCTGTGTACAAATGTCCCGGCCACCCACACGGCAGGTCCTAGCCAGGGTGGATGGAGGAACCCAGTGGCCTCTCCCACCCTCCAGCAAGGAGAATCCTTCGGGGTTCCCCACACCCACTGATTTTGCTCACTCCAGAACCACAGGAAGTGAGCCTGGTTTCTCGGCAGCCGACCCTCTCCCCCGTTTCTTACTCAGGCCAAAGGTGGGATGCTGGGTCCTGAGGAGCCTGCACAGCACCAGGTGGACCATGAGGCTGGTTTCATCAGCATTCTTCCCCAGCATCTTGGTCAGCTGCTCCAGATCCCTCTGGATGTGCTGCTGCAGGAAAGCCTTTGGGTCCCCCACCGGAGGCTTAATGATGTTGCCTAGAGCCTGTGGGCAACCAAGCAGAGTGTCCAGAGAGACTGCATATGTGGGTGAGCTCGGGAGGGGCGCCCACGAGTACACACAGCCCTGAGTTAGAGTGTGGCTTCTCGGGCGAAGCCGGGAAATGATCCACCCGTGACACAGACAGCAGCTGCTGCTGGCTTTGATGCTGCCTGAGTTCTGGCCTCTGCTTAGTCTCAATGTGGGGGACATGCCGTGCACTCCTGCTTCTTCCCCTGCAGCCGCAGAGATGCGGGGGTGAATCCGGCCTCACCAGCCTCTCCACACCCAAGTGTACCAAGGATGTGGTGTCGTGTCCTCCGAGGGGACTTCATGACCCGATCACGACACCTGTGCACATGCACTTGGATGTCATGCCGTATCCCATAGATAGTGCAGTTAAAAATGGAACTACGTTTTAAAAATTAAGAAAGAAAGTGGATTTTATGGAATCTGACGAGGAGCTCCCACATCCCATCATAGGCGACTATGGAGAAAAGCGGGCAATGTAATACTGTATTATTTACTGCATTAAATGACACAGAATCCGCAGAAGGTGGCCAGGACTCTTTAGACAAAAGGACCGAAAAGCACAGAAGGCTCTTCCTACAGAAACGCTGGGGTCTGGCAGTGGTGATACCTGGGGACTGTGGGCAGCTCCTAGAAGCAGAGCCAAATGCGTGAGCAGCCGGAGGAGAACGAAGACCACCGGTGACAGCCCCCGGTCGGGCGCCACGGCCACACCTCTGGGCTGTGGTTTGCCAAGCACGTGGCCAGTCTGAGTTCTGTCGGTGTTGTCTCTGGCAAGGACGGGAGAAGATGTGGTGAAGGCTACGTCCCCAGTTTTAAGGAAGACAATGTAAAATGCACTTCTTATTCTACTCTACCTAGTCTGCTTCCTATGAGTCTTTTTCTTTATAGATTAACCTTTCTGGCTGACCAGATTCCACAAGGGTCTCGTGTGTCAGTAGAGGCCTGCACCCGTCTCAGGTCAGCTAGGGACTGGGACATGTACACCCATGTGGGGAATGCCCACGTTGATCTCATCTTCACAAGTCAAAACCTGGGACAAAAGGGCTGGCAAAAATGTTTCTTTTCCTCTCTCTGTTTCTTTTTCTTTCTTTTTGACAGGATCTCACTATATAGTCCAGGCTCAACTCAAACTCTCAATCCTCCTGCCTCAGCCTCACAAGTTTTCGGATTACAGGCGTGCACCACCATACCCAGTCAAGATTATATCGTGTCCAGGAAGGAGATGTAGTACCATACATTCAGCTGTTTAAATATTAGAGAGTCACGGGTATCCTAGTAGTTTATGGAGATAACAGGCTGGATTTTTCTCTTTCTTTGCAGTACTAGGAATTGAACCCAGGGCCTTCATATGAACTACTTTCCCGGCATTTAAAAAAACTGAGATAGGGACTCTAAGTTCCTATGCTTCCCAGGCTGGGCTTGAACCTGTGATCCTCCTGCCTTAGCCTCCCCAAGTGCTGTGATTACAAGCATGCACCACCACACCCGGCACAGGTTAGGATATTCTAGGCTCTGATGGTACCAGAAAAGTCAGATGTATGGTGGCCACAGGTAGGTCCCACTAGCCATCTGAGGGGAACACTGGTGCTGCACCCATCTCGGGAGCAAGCATGGCACTGTGAGGTCAGATTTCTGTCCAGATTCTAGAGGAATCTCTAGAATCAGAGGACCCAGAGGCACAGAGGACCCTCCACATAGATTCAAGTACAGCCCTCCTATAAATAGGTTGTAGATTCAACCAGCAACGGATCAGAAATATTTCAGAAAGCTGCATCTGTACTGAACATGTAAAGGCTTTTTTCTTGTCTGTATCCCCTAAACAATACAGCAGAATAAGCATGTACACAGCTTTTACATTGAGTTAGAGGTATACGGAACTGGACATGACTTGAAGTGTATGGGAGGACATGCACAGGGTATGTGAACATTTTATATAAGGAACATGATGCTTTGGTATCTGGGGGAGGGCAGTGTCCTGGAACCAAAGCCCGCAGATACCAAGGCTGTCTGACAAGAGTACTTATGTGTCCTTCGCTAGCCTCAAATTAAAAAACAAAAACAGGAGGACACGAAGACAGTTTACAAGCGAGGTGGCACTGCACACAGACAAATGTCTGGGTTTTCGTCTAGCAGAATTCAACGTCAGTCTGAGTTAGGGCATCTCTCCATGTCCAGTATATTTTAACGGGGGTGACCCGTGGCCCATATGGAAGGTCCTTTTAATAAGTATCAACATGTTATCTGCTTTGCATCTAAGACCCACAACAGATGAGACACCTCAGTGCTATCTGAGCGGGACCTTGGCACTGAGACCCAACAGGACACAAATGCAAAAGTGTGACCCTTGGGACAGAACAACAGAAAAGCTCCAGAGCCCACAGTGTGACTCCCGGGAAGGCAGCACAAGCTTACGTACTGGATGACCTGAAAGCCGGTTTCGGGTCTGTGATTAAGGCCTCCGATTGGGGCGCGACAGTCTATGCACAGGGCCTGCTGCATCGGCTTGCCGCACTGCGGGGAGACGGCGGGACACATGGTCAGGGGAGGCCACTGTGCACAGTAACACCTGCCCTGGGATGGCTTCTCCAGCGATCTGTGGACTTCTGGGGCTGGGTGGTCACTTACTGCAAAGATGCTGACCATGGGCAATTGTGGACTTTTATTGTTAAAAAATTAAGCACGACTATTGAAGTTCTGACTGCAGAAAGAAGCACTCTATAGACAAATATGCAAGCTTCCATCTCCTTTCCTCCTATTCTTGCTTTCCCCGTTCACGTATGCATCACACCACACTCCAGCGCTTCATTTATCTAACACCAGGAATAACCAACAGCCATACACACAGCCTCCAAGCTGATTTCCTTATATGCACTGGACTTTCTTATTTTATTACAAAACAAAAACAAAAATAAAAAGCCAACCACAAGATTTACCACGGCCAAAGGCCCATTTTTCAGAGTCCAGCAGTTTCCAGCTGTGGACAGTCTGAGAAAGAATCATTCAATCTGTCTGTCAATCTGTCTTTCTTTTTTAGGGGTTGGTGTGTGGGGCTAGGGATTAAACCCAGGGCCTCTGCACGGAGCTACATACCCATCCCTTTATAAATTTTTTTTAAAAAGTTTATTTTGAGACAGGGTTTTGCCAGGATGCTAACTTGCTCAGGCTGGGCTTGAACATGCAATCCTCCTGCCTCAGCCTCCCAGAGTGCTGGGATTACGAGTGCTTGCCACCACCACTGGCTAAGAGTCTATTTCAATTGCGGAGGGAGGGTACTGGGGATCGAACTCGGGCCCTCAGGCAGTGGCAGGCACCACTGAGCTAAATCCCTAGCCCCTCTATTTCTAGTTCACAGTCAAGGAAGTAAATGAAGCTCAGACTAACCCTGTATATTGAGACCCCCCCCCCGGGTCTCTGCATTAGCCCACTGCTCAGCAAGGGCAGATGCGCCATACAGAGGCCCCAGGGGTGAGAAACAGTTTTCCCCCACAGCTCCCCCTCTACAAGTCTCTCTCCTGACCTCTAGTACCAGGCCACATCACCTGCCGGCTAGTGTACAGCTGACGGGAGGCCCTTCTATGCTACTGACCCCAGTGCTGGTCCTGGAGTGCTGCCGGACACCCTACC